GTGGGTGCCACCAGTCTGTCTTGGTCAGGGTCATTTATGTTTTTACTCTGTTATGGTCTATGAGCCGGGCTGACAGTGAAGCCAGGTGGGATTTGGTGGTCTGCAACAGCAGAAGCCTTGGGATATGCTAATTCCTGAAATTCATAGAGCCCATAAATCACACAAATATACATTGTGTTGATACATTCCTGCTATAGATCTCACCCAATCCAGAGACAAAAATGCTAAAGTTGGTGCAAAGAGTGTCTTGTAGCCTTCAAGTTGTAACAAACAAGGCTAGCTGGTTTTGTTTTGTTTTGTTTTGTTCTTTTAAATCCAATATATTTTATAATCTCTGGATGGCTGCTTGACAGGTGGATGAGGTCAGTAATATGAAAGAATGGAACAGAATAAAGAATTTTGCTTGGAGATTAGAATGTTATCCCACTATCAATGAAACCCCCACTCTAGATGCTGACTACATTTCACTTAAAACCAACTACTAGCACATGGGGACAGAAATTTTTAACTACAACAGGGCCATCTTGTCTCTTTTTAAAATTATATATTTTTATTTTACACATGCGTGTTTTGCCTGCATGTAATTGCACCCATGTCATGCAACGCCTTTGGCTTACAGAAGAGGGCTATGGGTACCCTGGAACTGGAGTTATATTACCCACCATGTGGTTTCTGGGAACTGAACCCTGGTCCTCTGGTAGAGCAGCCATTGCTCTTAACTACTGAGCCATCTTTCCAGCCCTTCAGTCTTATTTCTCAGTGCAGAGAAAACATGTTGAAGAAGATAAAAATCCCTAAAGGTCCGATGAAAACCAAAGTCACCATGTTCCAAGAACACTCCTGTGATTTAGGTAAGTGTGGCTTAGGCCTAGTCCTTGCTGCCAATGCCATACAGCAAATTTTACAAAGATTACGAAGTCTCAGGGATAAAAAAAAAATTCACAATATCTTCTTATTAAGCTCTTTTCAGGAAGCTGGCTTAAGAACCAAAAACAAACTAAAAGAAAAAGAAACAAAGAGAAAAATGGGCCACACATAAGCAACTGTTCTTTTGCTAAAATGTGAGTGGCTTCCTAACACAAAACATGACATTTCCAATTATGCAATTTGATAATTACTTAAATAATAAGTCTAAGATATGAATCAAGAGTGAACAAAGATGACCATTTCCAGCTGGTTAATGGTAGAGAAAAGAATACTTGGAAATATTTTTCATAGACAATCTCTCTGAGGGAGAGAGAACACGTTTAACTTTGAGCTTTCATTAAGATCAAACTGATCTAATTAGGTTTTATTTCATTTATTGCTCAGAATTCCCTTTTGTGGAACATGCTTTTGATAAATATCAAGGAAAGATGTTTGGAGAAAAGTTTTAATTAGATTTATTCACAAAAAAAGAAGAAAGCAGAAGTTTCCTTGAAGGATACACCAAAAATTTATCTGAAAAAGCTAAAATGTTAAAATTAAGGAGCCACAAATTACATTTTTGTTTAATAAAAACATGCAGTTTGTTACAGGATAACAGAATTTTTCTATACCTATCATATTTGGGATATAAGACATAATTCACAGGGAGAATTTAGCAAAAGGTAAATACAAATAAACAAATAGGCTTTTCGCTTCTCTTCTGATTGTGATACGGTAGATGGGCTGACTACATATCTGGTAATGCCATTACTAATCATAGATATATTAACCTAACTGTAACTCAATGTATAAATCATTTAGTTTCATTTTTCTTTTCTGAAGTACAGCAATGGCCAACAGTTGTAAATTCTCTAGGAATTCACTAATATTTCTGTCTGTGTATGTGGCAGATGAAGCTCTTTCCTATGAAATTTAAAAGTGCAAACTTGGCATCACACTGTGCCAGGATCACAAAGACCATGCTGGTGAGACTTTCTGATGGGATCACAGTGCTGAGGCATACACAAGCTGTGGTACTCCCCACAGACAGTTCCTCTTCAAACCCCACAAGGAATCTGCACTTGGATAAAGAGAGTGTTTTTCTTATATTTAATTGCTATTTTCAGAAGGTAAAAAATAAATTATACACATATATCAGATACTTAATTTTGACCAAGAAACTTAAAATAACTCAATGGGAGGGAATTTATACATGGTACTTCAAACATTGCCAACTACACATGGCTTAGGAGGTCATAGGCCCTGCACAAAAGCCTACTTCTGTCAGTTCTACAGACCAACATTTTACTGTATTCTAAATATGTATTCTTATATTTAAAGAAAAGAATGCCTCTTACCACTCATCAAAGAAGCTCCTTCTTACAACTCCTAAAAAGTCCCACAATTGGTCAAAAGCAGAGAATAAGCAACTGTGAGGTGCTGAGCCTAAGTGACACATCTACAATGCAATGTCTACACCTAAGGCTCAGGGAACATCTAGGAAGAGGGAGTCCAAAGAATATAGAATATAAGAGCCAGAGGGGCAAGACGTGTGCTGACAGCTGATGCATTCTAGACATGATAGGGAAGTGCCGCCATGAAATCTCCACAGTGTGGGAGTCTAACAAGATCTGCACAATGGCAAAACCAGTTGGCATGGCAAAATGGATGGAGGAAATTTCACAGAGGAAGGAAATCTCCACAGTGTGGGAGTCTAACAAGATCTGCACAATGGCAAAACCAGTTGGCATGGCAAAATGGATGGAGGAAATTTCACAGAGGAAGGAAATCTCCACAGTGTGGGAGTCTAACAAGATCTGCACAATGGCAAAACCAGTTGGCATGGCAAAATGGATGGAGGAAATTTCACAGAGGAAGGAAATCTCCACAGTGTGGGAGTCTAACAAGATCTGCACAATGACAAAACCAGTTGACATGGCAAAACGGATGGAGGAAATTTCACAGAGGAAGGAAATCCAGGTTTCTCTAGGAGCTACCATCCTCAGAGGCTGGGTCATCCCAACCTATGTGGGGAGCTCTAAACACAAGTACACAGGAGCACCACTAAATGGGCTCAGTGCTATCTATCTATCTATCTTTCTGTCTGTCCGCCCATCTGTCCGTCTGTCCATACATCTGTCCATCCATCTACTTATCTATCCATCTATCTATCCATCCATCCATCATCCATCTCTCCATCCATCCATCAATCTACACATCTATCGCTCTATCCATTGATCCATCATCCATCTATCCACCCATCCACCCACCCATCCACCCACCTATCTATCATCTATCTATCTAATTCTATCCATCCATCCATCAATCTACCTAGCTATTATCTATCTTTCTATCTACCCATCTATCTATCAATCTACATATCTATCATCTATCTATCTAAACATTGATCCATCATCAATCTCTCCATCCATCCACCCATCCATATCCATCCTTCTATGTATCAATCTACCTATCTATCTATCCATCCATCCATCCATCCATCCACCATTCTAACATCTAGCTATCTATATCTATCTATTATCTATCTAACTTCTATCTAATCAGTATATATTCATATATATATATATGTGTGTGTGTGTGTGTGTGTGTGTGTGTGTGTTAACAATTATAAAGAAGAGGACAAGGAATTGAGAGGGAGAGGGAGGGACATGAGAGGAGTTGGACAGGAACTGGGAGGGAAGGAACTGATGCAAATCTAATATCCATGTATGAAATTCTCAAAAACCTTTTAAAGTGTCATATTGATGATAAAGACCTGGTATAAGGAGGAGATATTGAAGAACTATAGCACCATCAAATTCCAAAGCAATAGGATCTAGTATTACATAAAAGGAAAGACATGTCATTATGTTGCCTGTTGTTTTGTATGTTTGCTTGTTTTGAAATAGGGTCACACACTGTAACTCCAACTGTCCTTGAACTCAGTGCAATATTCCATCCTCAGAACACCTGTCCAGCTGAGTGCTGGGATTGCCAGCAAATACCATCATATCAGGCTATGTGTCCTATTTGCTATACCAGTTATTTGAGAGTGGACTCATAGAAATATCAGTTTAATATCAAGAGCTCTAGAAAAACCTTCACCATCTTTCCTTAGCACATATTTAATGTTTCATTATTTTGGAAATATTTTTAAAGAGAAAGTGAGAAAATTCTCAATAATTATTAACTGTTAGTATGGTTCTCTTAATTCATCTCAAGAGATTCAAAATATAAAGAATTTTTTCCTGAAAATATCATCTATCCTTGTCCTTTTCTCACCATTCACTAAACAATGTAAATATCTTTAAAAACTAATATAAGGGTGGATGGTTTAAATATGGAATTAAATACTCCAGGGACCTCATAAAAGCCATCAATCTATTATCAAGAAGATATAGTAGAAAAAAATATACTCAAGGATTGATAAATTCACAGGATTTACAAATTCACAAAGCATAGTCACAGGTAAAAGTCTGCAATAACGATTTATAAAAATGATTGACTTCCCTCCTTGTTTAAGAATTTTTATGAATCCTGACATTTTCTTAGGTCTTTGGGAGAAATGTTCACAATAGCATTCAAGAAAAGAAGATCATTTGCATGAGTGATTCAAGGCATTTACTGCCAGATTTTAGAAAATAGCAACACGTACTGCAACCAAACATTCTGCTATATATTTCTTTAACTAAAAATGAAGGTATTCAGCATGGCTGTGGATATACAGGACAAGCTTGCTATGGTTGAGTAATGTAATGAGAAACCTAGGGTACCACTGGTACAGCTAAGGGAGCAACTGCATCTATCACACACTTAACCGCATGCTGGCCTAATTATAGCCCCGCACAGCTATGGCATTAATAAATATTCACAAGAGGCTAATTCATGTATTTAAAAGGACATTTTTTCTACAATGAATATATTTACTTCTCTGGGATAAGTTTCAAATCATATGACAACAGAGTATAAGCACCAGCCAGTGTCATGAAGTGAAACAGGCTGAGACCCCCTATTTCCTTATGTATGAATATTTGGGGACCACACAGACTTGAACAGCAGTAACTGTTGTGCTGTTCCTGGGAACCGAGACTCACCAGTGCTTGTAAGGAAGTTGACACTTTTCATCACTCCTTCAGTGTAAGCGCCTGGCTCATAACTGTCCATTTCACCAGTCACAATGTGAGCGACTCTTGCTGCCCGTCCTCTGATGGCACCTGCAGCTCGGTCTAAATTATCAGCATCCTGGTCTCTCAAGGCTATGATACATTTGTTGACATCTTCCAGGATGTGGTTTTCTGTATGGAAACAGAGAAAATTAGCTGCATGTGTATATTCCATCACACAAACACAGAATGTCAAAATTATGATAACTTTCTACTTCAGATATTTGTACAGAGGGTTCTGAGAATTATGAAGAAAGTTACAGAAATATTTCTGACTCCTTAGGAGGAAAATCCATAAAATATAAAATTTACTTTTGAAGACATCAGTTGCAAGGGCCGAGGAGAAGGCTTGGTGGGGAAAGTGCTTACTGTACAAGAGGAAGAACTGAATTTGATCCCCAGAAGTCATGTGTTATCTAGACACAGTGTCTGTGTCTGTAACCACAGCTCCAGAGTTGGAGGCAGAGGCAGGCAGGACGCAGGTGATAGCCAAGAAGCCAGTCTAGTCAAAATGGTGGGCTCCAGGTTCAGTGAGAGATATTGCTCAAAATCAAGGACAATAATGGCAAAGGAAGATGCCTAACATCAACTTCTGGCCTTCTTAGCACATGCATAGGATGAGCAAGCACACACACACACACACACACACACACACACACACACACGAAAACAAATATTGCTTGACATGGTTACACACACCTGAAATCCCAGTACTTGGGAGGCTGAGGCACAAAGAGTAAGAGTCCAAGACCAGTTCAAGGCTACATGGGGACCTGAAGGCCCAGGGCACTTGGAGAAACTATCTCAAACACTTAGGGGAAATAAACAATAGAAGGTTGTACTTGTTACTTGTTATTTTAGTGGCTAGATACAATATCGTACTTTTTAAATTCAAGATAGACATTAACAACATTTTAGAATAAAATAAGAAAAATATGTAGAACATTTATCTCTGAATAAAAGCAATATTATACAGGATTGCAATATGATTTTAAATATCATCTTTGTTAAGTACATGAAGCACTACCACAGAGTTCCATTTAGCAAGAAGAATAGATAATTAAAATTTGAAAGCCTCAATCACTTTTAAAGACTTATTTATGTGTATGTGTGTCTGTGTGTTTATATGTGTTCATGCATGAAAATGTCTGCAGAGGCAGAAAGAGTGTGTCAGCTAACTTGGAGGTGGAGTTACAGGGATTGTGAGTCACCTGATATAAGTCCTAGGAACTAAACTTAGGTCCTCTGAAAGAGAAGTATGTGCTCTTAACTACTAAGATAATGCTGCAGTCCAGAATATTATCATCTTCAGGTTTTAAATTAATAAATTTGCAAGTCTATGAACACATACACAGACACAACACATGCACACACACACATATACACACACCCACACATACACACATATTCATATGCACACACACGTGCACACACACACGTGCACACACACGCACACACACACACAAAGTTTGACTTGATAAAAAAGAATCCCAGAGAGAAAGATGCCTACTCTGAAACAGATCTCTATACATCCTTTCCCTCCTCTTTTTTGGCATAATTAGGGCGTCAAGGCAGCAGAAAGCTCTTATAGCAATCCAATACTATTTTTTATCTATAGAATAATTGATCATCCCAAGAAAAATCAAGAGAGGTTCTGAGAAAATATGTGTAATATCCACACACATGAGTAACTATTTATTCTTATTCCTTATTGTTTTAGTTTTTATAATTGAAAAAATGAAATGTATGAGCTGTTCGTGAGCAATTTTGTTTACACAGGAGAACTGAAGAACACCTGCAGAGGTAAAGCTGATCCGCCCAGCTTCACATGACTGGCAAGTTAAAGCATACATTTCCAAATTCAGGCTGTGTGCTTTGTGAAAATCATTCTACTTCCTTTTCCTGTAAATGAGCTCAGAAGTCATAGGTTTTAAATGATTCTCATCAACAAGGTCTCAGATCTTATACCCTTTACAATACAGATCTCAAGGTCAGAAATTAAACTTTTGAGTTGATAAGGACAGACTTTCATTAGACTGCTACAGATGATCAAGAGCTGGAGAGACCTGATGCAGTCTTCAGGCCATAGTGATTACAATGGACTTGCAACAGGAAATTAGATTCTTGTATTGTTTTCATCAAACCTCACCAGAGCTCTGTGGCATCAGAGTCTGTTGCTGTCTCTCTGGGTGCAGAGGTATTGGAGACAGAGCCTCAGCTTATAGCCCTGGCTGGCATTATATTTTCTATTACCATGGATCTGAAGTTCATGTCTAAGGGTAGAAGGCACAACAATCATTTTGTTTTTAAAAATCCACAGATGTGCATTCTAATGATCCATTAAAAAGCCATTGTTTTCTAAGTATTTTGATAAGGTATTAAAGAACACACAACACACATATGCAATGAGTCTTTAATCTCTATGTACTCGATCTTAGATTGCACTGATAAGTTTGTCTTAGTTCTATAAAAGTATACTAAAAAATAGAAAAAAAACAATGTTCATTCCTAGAAAATTAATTATCTAATAAATGGTATAATATTGTTTGATTAAGATCAAATCATGCCTGCCACAAATTATGTTTTTCCTAATGAATTCTGAAAGTAGTAAATTTCCAAAGTTTATGCAAAGAAAATGAACTGACTGGTCAATCACAGCCTTGCAGAAGCCTGATGTGATCTGCTACCAATGCAGCGTTTAATGTAAAGAAAAAGATAGGTTTGTTTTGGCTCCTCTTGGTTGGCCTTACAGAGGGCTGTTTGGTTACTGTTTGTAGTTAAATAATATTACAGTGTTAATGATGTTGAAGTATTATAGACATACATTTAGACATAAAAATTAACCTCTCAGAGCTGGAGAGATGAGTCAGTGGTCAAGAAAACTGACTTCTCTTGCAGAGAAACCAGGTTTGATTCCCAGCACACACATGGTGGCTAACAACCATCAGTAACTCCAGTTCCAGGGGAATTCAGTGCCTTATTTTGACCTCCGAGGGAACTGCGTGGCATTGATGCACTTACACACATGCAAATAATATACTCAGATACATAAAAAATTGTAGGAGGAAGTGCAGCCTGGGCGGCCAGAGCATGCGTGCAGCAAGCATGGTAAAACATCCGGCTGAGGCAAACCTGTGTTCAGCTGTCGCGAAAATGGCCTGATACAGAGAGCCAATGAGGAACAGACATGACCTATCAATGGACCAATGGGACACCGGGAGGAGGGATATAAGGGAGCCTCATATCCGTGATAAATGAGTCTGCAGCTGCTCGCACTGCCTGCTTCTCACCCGACTCCCGGTGTCTGTGTTCTGACTCCGTACCAACTCTACCCCCTCCCAGAGGGGCCCAGGACACCTGCAACATCTGGTGCCCAACGTGGGTACCTATGCTGGCATGAGCATTGACCTTCTTTGGGTTCTGGCCATCATTGTGGTAGCCGCTTTTCTCTTCTGAACCATGTTCTTTGCACTTTTCTGCAGGCCATGCATCCACTGCTCTGGAGACCAGCCTTAGTTTCGCTTTCTCCACCCGTGACCGCATGGGCACCTCTCCCCAACTTTCTGTGTTGTGAGATGCCCCCTACTTAAAGTTTCGGTAAGTAGGCCCCTATGTGTTACATGTGCCTTCAGTTCTCCTGTGGGTGAGCGTGAGAACCCATCCTTCCCCTTTCCCTCGTCCTGTCAATTAGGGAGGTGCACATTTTGCTTTCCGTTCGCCCAGCACCTCCACATAAAGGCTGACCCCATAGGAGGCATAACCCAGGAGCAGCTTCTCTACTTTTGTGACACCTTTTCATTACTTGAAAGCTTCACAGATATGAGGTCTAGAAACCTGAGGCTAGACAGGTCACAGGGCATAGGGGAGAGCCTAAGATTAATTTCTACTAAGTAGTTACAGTATTAAATTGACTTAAAGTCATAGATTGATGCATATAGACTAATGCATCTCTCAGCTCTTACCAAACAATCTTTCTTATGTAGCAGATGGTGTTTAACCCAGAAACCACAGCTGTCCACATGCAGAGACCAAGAGGCTACAAAGTGCTTATCTGTGAATAGGACACTTAAGGCTGCCTCTTAAGACTTAGGGATCACTGTGTAAGAGGAGGTGGAAAGGTTGTAGGAGCCAGGAGTGGATGACCAACAGAGTTTTCTAGACAGATGGTCAGTTACTCACATGAAGTCACAGCAATGGTGACAGCATGCACAAATCCCATGCAAGCTCAAACCAGACAAAGTCTCAGCACAGATATGGAGTAGTGAGTAAGAAATCCCAGTCCATCCTAAGGAAATTTTGGCAGTCAATGGCTTTGGTAAGGAGCAGAAACAGTCTACTTCAAAGAAGGAACTTTTGGTAGCTTAACCTAGCTCCAGTTGACAGACCCACACTAAAGGACTTTGGGAGACATAAATTAGAGTCTATAGGTGTGTGTGTGTGTGTGTGTGTGTGTGTGTGTGTGTGTGCGTGTGTAGCAGCAGCAGCAGCAGTAGCAGTAGCAGTAGTAGTTTTAGAAGTACAGTACATTAAATTGTGCAGGTAGCAGTAAGAGGTCCCATGGATAGGGGAGGGAATCTAAATACCATCAAATTATATTGTATGAAAAATTGCAAAAAACACAAAAAATTTTTCAAAGAAAATCTTTACATAATGGAGGCAACACTTCTTTACAAGAAATTCTAAATGTAGAGTTCTAGAAAAAGAAAAAGGTTTGGTACCTCCTGCATAGACACAATGTCTAAACATTAAATTGATTTCTTAAAAAAATCATTATTGTGTTGTCAGGAGACTTTATGCATTTAAAAAGTCTTTGTAAATAGCTTCAGGTTTTAACCTAACCATACGTTCAATAAACATCTAGGAAATAAAAACAAAATCAAATATGTTACATGAAACTTCCACTGCTGTATTCTTGAGGGCCTTGGAAATAGAATGCTTTTATCATTACATATAACACAAGTTCCCAGGAGTTCTGAATCTGTTTTACTTTTATTCAACTGTAGATGAACATGGTCTCAATCATTATATCATTTTAAAAGTGTGGTTTTATAAAAGAGAATATATTATCATAGGACAAGATCATTCAGAATATTGTACTTTGAAGAACTGATTCTTAAGGAAGGTTCGTCTTG